TCTTTCTCTCTCTCTTCCCCCTGTCTCTTCCTGCCTCTCTCTGACTCTCCCTGTCTCTCCCTGTCTCTCCCTCCTTCCCTCTCTCTTTCTCGCTTTCTTATAACGCAAAATCTCTCGGGGGATGATATCCCGCTACGTTACTGTCTGTGCTCGCGATAATGAAGTATTCGATAGAACTGATTTCGCGACGCGAGCTTGTGCAAGTTTCAATCGCGGGGTATATCATCGGACGTATAGTCGATTTCCAGCGGAGTAGCTGCAACCCGAGGCGTAGATAAACAAAATGGTCGCGGAATGGGTCGTAAACGTCGCGTATTCTAGCCATCGACATTTTTATTATGACATCCGCATATACCAGTCGCCATTTAGGTATTGTTGCAAATCACTGGCTTCATTCAGGAACGCTTTTACCCTCTACGCGTTCGCGAGACGCTTATTCAGAGATCTTCCTGACCCACGAGAGTTTAACGTTCGCGGAAAAGTACAATTAGACGTCTTCAAAGAAATTAATTCAATTGCGAAAGCGAGGCAAACAGATAAAAAGATGATAAAAATAGACGTATAACACGTTAGGTGTATTTGCGGTGCATAGTTACGACCTATCCGTGTTGCATATAACAGCGCGTTTCACGAATAAGATCTAATACTCCATAAATAAAACCCGCGAGCAATAACAAGGCTTCTCGGCTCCGTTTCGAGGAATTTATTTCGAAGAGTAATCCAGCGCTCGACACGTCTCTCCGAGAGACATTGCTACCGTCTAGCAATTCGATGCCAATCTTCGAGCCGCGATTGCCATTGTAGATCGCGCAACGTTTGTTCACAGTGTCCCAGATCTTGTTATTCCGCCGTCCCACTCGGTTCTCCTTCCCCATTCTTCTCGGCTCTCTTCGCAACTATTATCCCCGACGTAGCCGCGGCATCGAACGGCAAGAGCCAACTTATCTGCCCGCCGCCTCCCGGTGCCGGGGCTCGTAACTCGAGGGTACAACATAACAATCCGCGAGTAAAACTGCGTGCATCGAGAAATCCCAGAAGAGCGTAGATTTGACGGATAGCGTATATTTTATTCCGCCCTTCCTTCCACTCCCCTTATAGACCACCCTCCTCCTCCTGCTCCTCCGTGCTTCTCTACCACGCACCCTCCCTACCAAACTTAGATCAATATGTTGCGTCATGTACCCTCCCGTCCCTCCCTACCTCGCGTACCGCCCAACGTCTCACCGTCCACCCGGCCACCCACTCCTCCGACGTCCCTCGCGCTCCAACCCCCCCCCCCCGCCCACTCTGGCACCCACTCCCTCCAATGTGAACCAGCGCGACGAGTGACGTCACGCAGGGACGCGCCCCATTCATAGGCTCCCACGCAGCGTCCAGGCCGCGGAGAACGGAAAAAAGAACGGAACCCCAGGGGGAGAAGGAAAGAAAGAAACTGTCGAGACGACGGCGATGACGACGACGGCACGGACGTGGCTGGACGCGCGATCGCGACGGGTTGCGTCTAAATGAGCGGTCGGTCGTATCGATTCTCCTCGAGCGAGACATTTAGATAGCTCTGTAATTTCGTTGTTTTCGCAACGGGGCGCAATTAAACGGTCGACCGCGACCATGCGACGCGACGCGACGAGACGCGGCGAGACGAGACGAAACGCGACGCGACGCGACGCGACGCAACGCGGGGGAGGAGAGTTCCCGCTCGTTTGGAACGAAGAAAGAACCCTCTTTTCAACCCCCGCCGTGCCCGCCCGTCCCCGCCCGCCGCCCCCGTCGTTCCGCGGGCGCGGATCGATGATGTAACGACGCTCGCTCACGATGACGTTTGTCATTGTACTTGCGTGCGGCCATGACGGAGGCGTGCGTGCGTAGCGTGCGCGCACGTGTGCAACCCGCGGCGGGGGAGGCGCGACGGGGTTTACTACAAAACACCCCACCTACCCCCGTGTCCGCCTACGTTTATGCGCGTCCGACATTTCCGTGCCCGAGCGCCGTTAAATTTTACGCGGCCGCGCTCGTGAGCGTCATTGATCAGAGAGAGCGCCCCGGATTACTTTTAATAATCCGGAAAATGGAGCTCTCTGTCTCCGCGCGCTGAAAGAGATGAAAGATGCAGCGGCGCTCGCGAAAGATAAAAGCTATTACGTGTCCGCGGGTAAAGAGGTGTCCTGCGCGAAATATCGCACACGGGTACGTGCGATCCGCGCGCGCGGAAAATATTCTCCAGGTTTCCTTTCGGTAATTATTTCGGTATTAAATCCGCAATTTATCTGTCGCGAAACTGGGTCATTAAATAAAGCCCGAAAAGGCACGGGGTGATCGATAAAATCGGTGTTCCGAGCTAAAAATAATAGGCAAGAGATCTAATATTATATTTCGATTTATTTAAATCTTCTATATTTACGTTCGTGCACGCGCGTGACACGCACGTACGTCGCCGGCTGTCTCTCGCGTCTGTAAGTTGCAATTTCCAGCGGCACGTTTAAATGTCCACGTATCGCACGTTCCTCGCGCCGCGATAATAAATAGTGTATACGGTTACACCGTACGTGAGAACCAATAAAATCTTTCTCCCGTATGCTTCTATATATTATTAGCACGAGGATTACGCCGGAAAGGCCACGATTTGAATACGGCAAATCGATATTGTGATAGCGCGCGGGGACGGAGCGAGTAACCGGCCCGATGCGGGGATAAGAATAATATTTGCGCAAGTAGATAATCGCGTTAGTAGAACAAGGTACACGGTGCAAATTCGACGGGCGTTAGTTTCTGTTTGCGAAAATCCGCGAGCGCGACGGCGCGGATAACAGCCGGCTTTTGAAAGCGCATCCGCGCCGACGTTTCGCCGCGCGCGCGCGCGCGCGCAGCCTAGGCTGCGATCAAGCTGTCGCTACAAATACTTCCAAGTATTCCGCCTTATCTCAATAAAGATAGAAAGAGAAGGGAAACGCTCCGAAGCGTTTGTAGCGGCAGCTTGACCGCAGCTCTGCACTGGAGAAAAAAAAATTTCGCTACCGTAGCTAATCACGGTTTGCTAGAAATATTTTTCTGCCATAACTAAATTTCTAAACCACACGGTTCGCCGTCGCACCTGACACAATAGACGCAGCAGCAAAATATTTAGCCAGCACCACTGAATATTAGCTGTCCATATTTTACAACTGAAATTTAGTTGCCACGTGCAGTTTTTAGGCTACGGCAGCTACACTTTTCTTCCCGTGCGCAGTCCCTACAATCGCAGTCTGGCCAACGCGTCAGTTCCGGCAAGACTCTGCGAGCAGGAAGAAGCCACTTGTTATTTCTATCTCTTTGTCTGGTTTGCCGTCGCACCTGACACAATAGACACAGCAGCAAAATATTTAGCCAGCACCATTGAATATTAGCTGTCCATATTTTACAACTGAAATTTAGTTGCCACGTGCAGTTTTTAGGCAGCTACACTTTTCTTCCCGTGCGCAGTCCCTACAATCGGAGTCTGGCCAACGAGTCAGTTCTGGCAAGACTCTCCGAGAAAGAAGGAGACACTTGTTATTTCTATCTCTTTCTCTCTCGTTCCCTCCCTTTCCGTTTCCTCGTCGCGTTCTCTCTTTCGCGAGTTGCCGAAAATAGAAAGGACCAATCAAAAGTCGCCGTCCGTTGGCCAGATTGGAGGGAGTCCAGCTCTCGCGCTCGCCGGGCGCGCGTTTAATCTCTCATCTCCGCGGACGAGAGTCCGGGGAATCGAAATGGCGCGGGCAGGAGCGAGCGGAAAACGGCGTAAACGGCGGGACCGAGTGGCCGCGTGGCGGCTATTTAACGGCGGTATTACGCCCACGGATACCGTATTCACTCGCGATAAAGGGTTAATTGATTTACCCGGCGCGAGGGGGGATGATGGCGCGCCGCTGTAAGGTCAATTGTTCTAACGCGTTTTACAGCGAGCGCGTCTCCCCGGACGCGGTGCGCACGCCGATTATTATCTCTTACAATGCGACTGCTCTTAATTGTTTCCAGAATGCCGACTCCCGTATCACTGTCCGCTTCCACGTTTCGTCTCCCTCGCGTTTCTCACCGCGATTCGATAACGCCGTCCGAGCTCAATTTCTCCTCCCCCTTTCCCTCCCTCCCTCCCTCCCCCCCCCCGTCAAATCGCGCGTTATCACCCTACGTTATCTCCGCCATCGCGAAATACGCGCGCGTAATGATGCAATTGCGAGATTACGGGCGAGAGATTCCGCGAAAAACGTTTCCGACGAGGCTAATCTGCGAGACAGAACGATACGCTGCGTGCGTCAAATCTTTTTGGACGCAGAGGGCAAATATTACTCCAATCCATCGCGTTTAATCGAGACGATCTTGAGTGGTGTCTTCGTCACCGATCGCTAACAATTTAGTATTACGAGACCTATACAAACTCGATAATCTCGTTGATTTATTCACCCACTCACTTGCCAAGGAAGAAAAAAACAAACAAAAAGTACCGCGCCAAAGTTCGAGATAAAATCAAGACAATACCTTTTTTTTTTTGTCTCTACGTTTGTACATTCGTGAAAAATTCGCTCTAAGAACAGTGCGGGCCTAATGAGTTTCTTTTCCACACTTCAGATGTTGCCTCTCGGACAACACTCGTTCGCATCGTAAAGCAGCACTTCGAGATCTACGTGTCTTTTTCTCCACCCCCTCCCCCTCGAGTTATTTTGTTAAAATAATGTAGCTCGAGAAGTATCGCTTCACGAGGGTAACATTATTTACATCAGACGCGTTAATATCAACCCGATCGCCGGGCGTATTACACGCCGATGGGTGTCCGTCTATTTTTATTTCCCGTGTGATCTTTTTACGCCGAGGCCTTCGAAAGGTTTCTCCGCGGTGTGCCGTGTGCGGCGGATGTAACACGCGGAAAGAAAAGTGGCACGTCAGGACAGACGCTGGCGGCAACTCGATCAATCTGGCCCCGCGATTCTTCCGGCCGTTTATTCGCGCGCGCGCCCCCTCCGCCCCTTCCTCTCCCCGTGCCCTCTTACCTTGCTTGACCGTAAAGTAACCTTTCCGCCGCAGCGTGCGCAGCATCGGATGTCGCAGTAGTTGCAGATGTGCCCGACGCCGTCGGCGAACTTGGTTTTCAGGCATATGTGACACGTGGCGTTCAGCTCGACCCCGGCCTTTTTGTGTTTCTCCGAACGCATCCGTATCGTTTCCTCGAGGACCTGCACCTCATCCTGCTTTCGTCTGCAAATCAATAATCAACTGTATTAAAAAAAAAGAAGAAGAAACTAGTGAGAAATTTCAAATTGGCAAGAAGCTCACTGTCTTGAGTTTTTAATTTCGCCGGTAGATAATTAATAAGCGGACCATTTTCGAGCCAACTGGGGTGAATTTATTATTAGAAATTGCAACTCGCTACGTTTCGACCGTACCGGGTTGTGGTCCTTTTCAAGCGACAATGTGTAAAATTGCGCATCGCGTGAATACCAATAAAACTGCGGAGTCTATCATTGGGGTCCTATGACTACAGCACATGTTGCAGAGCACATCTGCAAACGCAGGAGGTAACAATAAGACAAAAAAGAAAAAAAAAGCTGCGAAGAGTCGAATGGTATCGTCTACAATCTATTGCGTCTCGTTTGCGCGTTCCAGTTTCGATTTTTTTTTCCAGGCTTGAACGAGCGAGTTGTCGAGAATTTGAAACCGATAATCTTTATGACACCGTGATTAAGTACGGAGGGGCAAAAAGATGCTAAATAAAAAGACGTATCCTATTTCCGTCACTTCTGTAATAAGTTTTTAAACAGATTCAACGTTTAATTAACAGCCTGACAGTCCAGCAGTCCAAGGCTCACGATTTCTCAGTTCCCGTGTAGAATTACCTCTGACGATCTCGTATAGGAAGAATGATGATTACAATCAGTGTCTACGGGATAAACGATGGAAAATTAACAATACCTATACCACCGTCGTATTCGGCGCCCGACCGAACTTCGTATCGGTGGAGCTGAGAAAATCACCGGCTATTTCTGATATGGTAGCCCAGCATTCCGCGAGGACGGCAGCCGAATTTGTCAATCCTAATTCTACCATTTGCGGACTCCCGACGTTCTACCAAACCTCAAGATAACGGATCGCCCCTAGATTTATTTCCGCTCGGTAAATCGCGCGAACCTTGGGAAGCGTCGCAATCTCACCCCTGAAAATGCGACGTGGCGATGCCGACGTCACCGCCTGTCCCCCTCGTCACCTCGTTGCCGCGACTCTATTCCCGTTTCTTACTCGCGTCCATTAAGCAAATTTAGGGCCCCGTCCCGCACGCTCGAGGGTAAACCGGCGGCTCGATGCCAACGATATCGGTATTGTTTACAGAGATTTAGATTATCGTATCAACGTTATCGATTTTGATTAAACAAATTATTTATTGCGCAGAATTAATCAGGAGAGGGAGCTACTAGACTAAACGGGGGGGGGGGGAGTGAACAGATTTGGGGCATTACTGGGCATTACTAGACATTTTTGGGGCACTAGGCCCACTTAAGATAGATAAGATATTTGACAGCCACTGACCGCGACATTTAATTGAATTAAGAAATATTTTGCAATTCGATCCTTTTCTTTCTCGAAAACCAATTTTTCTTTCTCAAAACCAATTACTGAATTACACTCGTCAAATTCAGACTGCTTAAAAGCGATTATCGGCTTTCAATCGCATAAACTTTATACGTAATCGCGATACGAGCATTTATTTATCAACTTTCCGTTCGAATGGGACGAGCGTCACGTTGTCGGAGGGGAGGGAGGGAAGACGAAAATAAGCCTCGTTGACAGTTATTGCGGCGCAATCGTCCGTTTGAAAAACACGAAGCTACATTTAAGGTCACATTTATTTCATACCTGTCCGACCGTAATCGCATCTTTTGTTCTTTATGTACCCTCCCGTCGACTAATTACGCGAAGAGCTCTCGCCAAACGCAAGTGAAATTAATGGACCCTGAAGAGATGAAATAAACATCGCCCGTACAATGGACGCGACATCAGTATATTTTAAATATATCGCGAACCGCAGTCGAATAAACAGGACCGTGCTCTATTCATTAGAGAATCAGTCCGATCTTTTTCCCCCGTTTGCGCATTCATTCCGCTTTCAGGTAGAAAGGCAGAGAGAGAGAGAGGGAGCTTCTCTAATTATCGACTTTCGTTTGTGCCATAAAATAGGATCATTAAAATTATCATATATTTATTCACGTGATGCTTGACAATCTAATTCGCACGAGTATACGTGTGCAAAATGGAGCCGTGTACTTTCCCGTTGGACATTCGCGGATGAAAGACAGAAATTAGTTTCAAAGAAAATCCTGCGCGTCGATCGAGAGTGCATGAAATTAGCCCCCTACTTTTTAAATATTATGACCTTTTTAAGTTGTTCCAGGTTGTTCTAACTTTGTACCACATTGTTCCGAAGCGACGTTACTTTATTCAAATCGATTTGCTCATAAAATAAAAAAGAAATATTTTTTAGCCGTCACCCCCTTTCTCGTAGATCGACGAAATCAGACGAAACTGGTCGCCAGCAAGTCCTCAAACGTACCGGTTAAATACGATTTATGTGGAAGATCCGTGTGAGAGACGCGCGTCCGGCAAACAAGTCAGTCACTGCGAGTAGGAATACAGTCAACGGCACACGATACTATTTTTCCTACTGGATTGCTTACCAGAACCGATAAGGATGCAGAATTTTAGGTGACTTAGGGCTAAATTCTGATTGGCTCTCATAAGCGATCCAGCAAGAAAAATAGTATCGTTTGCCGTTGGCTTAAGCGAGCACGTTGCCAGTAATTTTTAGGATTTGTATCTTGGATCACGTACGCGACGGCGAATCGGACCGCCGAGCTTCGACCCGGGGGTTGTTGGCACCAATGCCCGGCTCCACCCCGAAAACGTAACAGAAACCGCGGACGCGCAAAAAATTCACCGAACGCCGCGCGGGAACAGGATTATCGGACGCGGCGAGCGTGGGTCCTGCGGTCAGGAAGACGTGTAGACCGGATCTCCTTACCCTTGACCGATTGTCAAATAAGGGAGACAGCCGCGTCAACGCATCTTGACACCGTAACCCAAATCCCGAGTTTGTCGACGGAACAAAGGCCGGCGCGTTTGTGTTACAACGAGGGGTAAGAGGGAGGGGAGGGTTGTAGTTGCACCGCGTCTATATACCTATATTTCTCTAATTACTTTACCGATAATCGAGTGACTCGCGCACGCAACGGTGATCACACTCGACAAAGAGTCGCACAAGACTTTCCCACTTCTGCGTTACGAGCGATCGTGGAAAGGTCGCGACACGCAAGAAACTGCTCTCCCGTCGACATGAAAGGACTGGAAAGAAGCCCACACAGACGAAGCGTCGCAGACATATCCCCCGTAGTTTTGTATAATTCTCCCGCGCTCGTGGCGTGTCGCCCGAAATTGGGTTTTCAGCCCAGGTTGCTGCCTGGGTAGGTTCCAAGTATCGACGTCGATAACACGAAAAATATATGTAAAATAATAATAGTGCGTTTATTAAATTTTTCTTGGGCTGCGAAAGATTAAACTTTCTTATCAATGTAATTTCCGAGCACACAAAGGGAGACTTTTAAAGATAAAATTGCCAAAAGGGACGATTGTTAAAGTGTGATACATTTTTCGCCACTTTAGATGCTCATGTATGTCAAATCTGTACACTACAATGCCCTCAACGATTTCAGTGTTTTCTTGACCATAACTGGCATTTTGAATAATACAGAAAATTCACTGCGAACAATATTACCTCAGCCAGGATTTGAACCTGGACTTCCCTACACTCTAGGCGGGCGTTTCACCAATCCGACCACCGAGGCATCCGCAACGATGTTGCATTCTAATTTAATCTACGAAACGATCTACGGAAGCATTCGATGCAAAAGAAAACCGTGTCTCCGGGCTGCATGCCGCGAGGATTTAAAAATAAAATAAAGACCAACGAAACGCGCCGCGATAACGCGGTGATAACCGAAAGGGGCAACTTCCGATTATTTTTCACGAAGACCACGCATCTCCGGGGCTAATTTGTCTTCCCCCGTCGGAAAAAGTTTTATTTACACGCACCTCCTGCGAGATCGGAGACGCCGGCGAAGTCGACGCAACGACATAATTGCCAGCTTAACGTTCTCGCGTCTCGAGCCTCGACAGTCTCGTTATACTCAACGGTATTTGCACTCCCTCTCTCCCCCCCCCCTTCTCCACCTACCCTTGCACCGCCGACAGATACGTGTGCTACCTATCTGTAGGACGCGTATATATTTCACCCTCCAAGAATTTACCGTGCCAATCCAGGCGCTTTCACACCCCGTTCCATGGTCGCGTACACCTATGCATATACCCCGTGCAGCTGCAGCTGCAGCAGCAGCAGCAGCTCGTTACTACGCCACGTCAAGGCTCGTCGCCTTGCATTTTACATGCGTCCCTACACGTACTTGTCGTCTACATTACATGATCTCGCGCGCATCGGTATGGCACAGCACGCTTTCCTCATTACTCTTTCCCTTCGTTCTCACGTTCCCGTTTTTCGCTCGGTCGCGACGACCTATCAATAAAACCTGTTCACTGCGCAACGCCCGGTTTGCCCCCTCCCTCTCTCTTCCACTCCTCCTCTCTCCTCCTCCTCCTCCTCCTCCTTCTCCTCCTCCTCCTCCTCGTTCACAGTTATTGTTAGCCACCACAGGTAGAACGCCGATCTCCGTTGGCGCAATTACGCACGCCGGTCCTGTCGCGATAAGCGAATTGGCCGCACTTTTTTTTTATCGCCGACCACGGCGAGGGCCGATCGCGATCAATCGGAAACGTGCCGAGACGCGGCCCTAGTCGGGGCGCATCCCCGAGGGCGCGAAACCTCGCGCCGCGAGGGTGGCGCAAGGGCGGCGAGGAATATTTGCGGACGTCGAAGACGCAATTATAAGCGAATTTTATTTCTGACCGCCTGATACAAAAGAGATGAGAGAGCCGACGCGGTAATCGGGAGCATGTGCGGGGCCGTGGATACATAAATGGAAGATGTAGGTGTAAAGCGGTCAAGGACTAATGAGCAGGTGAGCCGGGAAAATAGGTGAAACGAGCCGGAGCGGACCCGCCGCCGCTGGTCAAGAAATACCTTTGTCCGATCGATCGGTTGTCGTTTCGTTCTGCCAATCGCGGCGAAAAACTGCCAACCGAACGACATCTCGCTATCCACGCTGACCTTTGCCGCCCGCCGGCCGCCCTGATCATTAATACCTCTTTTATCCCTAATTCCGATAACTCTCCAACTTAGCCAAGACGTGACCTTGACGGTTATCATTGAGCCGGTGGCGTTAAAATAGACGCAGTTGTCGCAATCCGAGTTAAGCTACTACCCTCCTTATTAACGCATAACCTTTGAATACATTTGAATAAATTACCGAATGTTGATAGCCTGACGAAGATACCTTTCGAATGTTTTACCATCCAATTATCCAGGTCCGCGTTGAAGTCTCGCATATAATCCGGAAATTGCAAAGATAGGCTGGTATTACATTTGTCGCACGGCACATTTTTTAACGAACGTTGCTGCAGGATAGAAAATTTCTAGATACGCGAGAACTTTACTATCCTGGAACCAATCAACGTGCTTGAAACATTTGTCGCACGACAAATGTAATACCAGCCATGCTCGCGTACATCTGCCTAAGGGCCTGAGCAGAATGGACGTGCGTTTAAGACAAAGACTTAAAACATAAAACATTGTCTTGAGAGCACAAGGCAGCCATTCTGCTCAGGCCCTAAGGCCCGGTTTTTCATTTCCTGGTTTATTGTTAACCAGAGGTTAGTCGATTCTCTGTCTCTTCTAAAATCATAACATCCCTAGTGGCACAATATATTGGCGCAATATTGGGAAACAATGTAAATCTAATATTCCCAATATTGTAAGACGTACGCCTTCTCTTATGTAGCAAATATATCTATTTAGCAATACTGGTTTAATATTGTATCAATATCAGACCAATACTCTTATTACATTGTTAAATATTGGCCAATGCACTTCCAATATAAATCTAATATTACATAATTATTATCGTGCAATATTTACATTTATTCCACGGCCAATATTGGCCGAGGGGGGAACCGCTGACCAAAATCTTGTACACCAATGCCCACTAATGCCCAGTGGGCATTACGTTATCTTATTATCTTATTTTATCTTTATAATGCCCCAGCAAGGCCTAATGTCCAAACTAGTGCCCAAAAAATGCCTAGTAATGCCCAGTAATGCTGCAAATCTGTACACCACAATGCCCTCAGCGGTTTTCCCCTCGATATTGACTTTACGTTGGACAATATCAGCCAATTTCTAATATGATCAACATTGGACGAATGTTTAGCCAATGCACTGTGCTACTAGGAATAGAAAAAGATGTAGAGTCGACTAACTTCTGGTTAACAAGATGAAAAACCGGGGCGTTAAAGCGTCGAGCGAAACACCCTCGACAATTTTCGCCCGACGATGTCGCAGCTTCACGGTTTCGTTTGCGGCCATCGGAATAAAAATGGTCACAATTACCGAAAGCGCGATGGACAATAGCGCGCCGCACGTGAACGTTATTACAGGCATTCGACCAGCCTGGGCAATATCCGGTGCAACGGAGAGGGTCCTAAATACCCGTGTGAAAGCTCGCGCGTCCCGCTTGCGAAACAATGCTTCATCGATAGTTTCGGTCCATCGCGCGAGCCGCGCTTACGCGACGACGATAGAAAAATCCCCAGCGTGCTTTAAGACTCGACGTTAAACGCGGCCGTCATTGGCGCGAACGGAAGAGTTTTTAGTACCGTTCATTCTCGAGTTCGTTATTTTAACGCTTTGCTAAATGGCACGAGTGGGGAAAAGCGATGTTAATTACTGTTACCTCGCCATTCACGTACACTGTTAAATTCGTAGCGACTCGATGAGTCAAGTTCGTCGTTATTTTTAACTATCCTGCGTGGTAAAATTTATCAATCGAGCACAAATTCCAGTTAAAAAAACAAATTGCATCTTTTACTGCATCTATTTTATGCTTTCGTTTAACTCCATTGTTTAATCAAATTAATGGCATACTGAGTAGAAGCAGTGAAGACTCTCTCTATTCATCGAGTTAAATTGTTTGGATTGTATTTTTATTGAATAAGTATTAAAATTTTGTCTCATTAATATTATTATCTCCTTTATTTCTTTCGGTAAAATTTTCGGCTCGATTGTTGGGATATAACATTTTAATATCAAAAATAATTAAGTGTCTAGTTTGTATAAATATCCATTTTAGTTGGCGCCATTTAATGATATCATTACTTTTGTAGAGGAGACAAAACTGTTTTTTTTTCTAACAAATTAAATTTGACACTACAAATTTAACAGCGTAGATATTTAGATAAATAATACAACAAGGGGGAAACCGCTGAGGGTATTGTGGTGTACAGATTTGCGACATTACTAGGCA